GGTAGGGCAGCAAGAGCAGGGAGAAAAAGAACTGAAGGAAAAAATAGTCAAACTGAGTTATCTTCTCTATGTTGTGTCTTTTTCAGGTCCGCCCTGCTCTCTATTTAAAGCCTTAAAGAGGAAACCTCCTAATATGATTAGGAGTTTCCTGGTTCAAATCTTTGTTTGGAGATGGACTCTTTAAGTGATAAGGATAATCCCTTATCTTATCTACAGTTCAAGATCAGCTTATTCCTAATCAAATTAGTAGTTTCCTGATCCAAATCTTTATTTGGATCTGGACTCTTTAAGTGGAAAAGAGTTATCCTCTTATCCTTGTCTGTTGATCCAAACCCAAATCTGCCCCAATTTAATTAATCCAATTAACTAGTTCGAAATGGGCTTTTAGGCCCATTAAGCTTTTAGCCTCACTTCTTTTTTATGCTGATTAGTTGCACTCTCTTGGTATGGTATGGGACCCTAACATTGATCTACACATCAGCCACATGGGTTCAGCCTAGCCTCTGTTACAAGGCCTGGCCGAATTCRCTRCTGAATACRGTGAACCCCTGAGTCCATCACTATGGACTCTTAATGGGCCCAACATTTACACCAAATGGTCCTTGGGTCTAGCCACCTTATGAAGGCCCAAGGACTGTGAGTAGATGCAAGATTATCCCATCAGGTATAACCCTCAATGGTCTTACACTTAACCTCTCAGCCTTTAATGATCAAACACTGCCCGACAAGAGAGGACCTCTCCCTCGGTTGCAAGGTACAGCGTTGCACTCTCTACTCACATGGATCCCGGGAATTAAAACCTTTTGCAAACATTTTGAAACCATAATATAAATAAGTATATCTCTATATAAATATAATTTGCAAAACCAAATTTCAAACACATTTGAAATCCACTGCCCACAGTTTAACTTTCCATCATAGAGAGTGCATTTTCCCGATCATTCACATTGTCTAACAAAGGGGCTGATCCTATCACTATGATCACCCACTCGGATGAATTTTCGGACTGTCCCAACATACCCATGTTTTGATCCCCTTTAAGGATCTCACTGACTGGCATATCAAAGACAGCCCAATCCAACACCTAGTGCAGTATCATAATCGAGTCTAGGGGTCAAGTGTAACATCTAGTTTTGCCCATCTATCTCCAAGGTCAGGGCAATACTGGAATTTTGGTCCAGTTCAGGGTTTCAAGAATACCCACACTGCATGTACCTCAAGTCTCACCCTGGCAGCTGAGACAAGCCACCCCAACCAACATGGCGGCACATCAGTGTCAGCCTTGGCAGGATAAATCTCCCCAGATCTATCCAACGGCTGTGAGGATTCTAAACTTACACGAGCCTCATATGTGTCCAGTTTAAGGGTATTACATAGAAATACACCACAATAACATGAATCAAATATGTACTTTATTCATTTACAATAAATGTCATATTGTACATCATGCTGATTGGAGCTAAGGGCATACACTATCTAACACCATTGAGAAGGGAGATCATCCAATGATCTTTAGGACACCATGGCAATGATGTGCATTCAGCCATGATGTTTGTAGAGAGCCACTAATGATTAAACATGGGGCAAGTACTTATGGCACATGTACGAATCACATTCAACACATCACATCCAATTACATCCACAAATTGATCCAGTCAATTAGAATACTTGTAAAACCCTTAATTATTTTAAGTTAACACAAAATAAGCCCATTAAGGTCCATATGTTATCCAATAATATTATTTGGTTATATGGGCTAAACTGCAAAAGGCAGTTCGGCCCATATAGCAATTGGGTTGTTCTTGCTTTTACTTAACATAAATTAGGTTTTACAAGGGAGGACAGAACTGTATCATCTGATGGGCCATCAAACCCTGGCCCATAACCGAATTTTATTCACTTAAAATGTGACCCATGGGGCTGAAAACAGACCCCATCGAACCATGGGTTTGGTCCAACCAGTTTGGACCAAATTCGGTCAATTTGGCCTAGGCTTTGGTATCCAAAACATGTTATAGTTTTCAAGATTTTGATCTGAATTAATTATCAGCCAAAATTGACATTCAATCATAGCAATAAAACACACAACACAGGGCTGCAAGTGTGATGGTCTGAATCTAATCCAAATGAATTGCAAATCTGCAAGAAAAGGGTTAATCACAGATTGCATATTTCTTTTCTGCAAAATTTATTATTCTCCTCCGCGGGCTCTAGCAAGTCTTCCAATGTAATAAAATATAGAAAAACCTAATTTCTATTAATTACATCAGATCAAATCCTAAACATTTTGTCTAAAATAAAAAAATATTTACAGACCAAATTGAATAGAAAAAAAATGCAGGGAGCGCAAATCTTGGCGCCTTTAAAGAATTCGATCTCCATCACACAAACAACTCAACAATCTAAGAAATAAAGATAGAACCATTCTAAATATATTACAGAATAATAAAGATTTAAGTTCAGATCAAAATGCCCAAATCTGAGAACCGAATTCTTAGAAAACTGCTAATTTGCACAAATCAAGTAGAATAGTTTCTGCTGATTTGTGTTGTTTTAGATCTGATCTAAATTTGGTTCAAGACTTGAACCTAGCTCTGATACCACTGCAGGTAAGGGAGATCCACCATATGGATGGCCAAACTATGCAGGGTGGCTAGGTGAAATTTCAAAAATTTCTTTTCTCCCTTCTGGGAATCATATTCTTAGTTTTAGAAAAACTACATTTTTCAAGGATCGTTCTTGATCCAAACTGGACCATATCTGAAACCAAAAGAAAGTGAGAGCAATACCTGATACGGAATCCACATGTAGCTCCCAAAGTAGGTGTCCACACCCAAAGAGGGTACCAAAACCCGCTTCACTGAAGATGGCGCCGCTTGAGATGAAGCAGGTTAAGCAATGAAGTCTTTCAGCAAGAACTGCAATCCAACAGCTTGGATCGAGCAAGGGAGGTGAGCAAGAAAATAGATCTGAAATTTCTTTCAAAAATCAGAATCAGAACTGATCTCTCTCGGTTCAAGAATGGAGGTCGAATTAGGGTTAGGGCGGCAAGAGCAGAAGGAGAGGGAGAACTAAGAGTAGAGTGTAAACTTGGAGCAGTTCGCCCTCCTTTATTTATATAGCATAAAGAGCTACTCTCCAAATCTAATTAGGAGTTTCCTAATCCAAATCGTTATTTGGATTTAGACTTTGTTAGTGAATAAGACTTATTCTCTTATCCTTATCTACTGATCCAAACCCATATCCATACCCAAATTCCCCCATGTTGATTAATCCAATTAATCTTTGGGCTTTAGTCCCATTAAAGAGGTGGCTTATGTCCCTTTATTAATTGCTGACTAACTTGGCTCTCTTTGTATGCCATGGGACCCTAACATTGATCTCACAAAAGCCATTAGCCTAGTTTCTGTGACAAAGCCTGGCCGAATTCACTGCTAAACACAGTGAACCCCTGAGTCCATCAGTATGGGCTCTTAATGGGCCCAACATTTACATTAAATGGTCATTGAGTCCAGCCATCTTATGAAGGCCCAAGGACTGTGGTCTTAATTGAGAATAGCCCATCAGGTATAAAAGCCTTAACTGGTCTTACACTTAACCTCTCAACCCTTAATGATCAAACACTACTCGACAAGAGAGGACCTCTCCCTCGGCTGCAAGGTACAATGTTGCACTCTCTGCTCGGATGGATCCCAGGAATTAAAACCTTTTGCAAACCTTTTTCATAAAACATAATATTTGTATATTTTCATATAAATATATTTTGCAACACAAATCTCAAACATGGTTGAAATTGACTGTCGGCAGTTTTGGTTTCCATCAGAGAAAGTGCAATCCCCGATTATTCACTTTGTCCGACAAATGGGCTGATCCTGTCACTATGATCACCCACTCAAGTGAATTCTCAGACTACCCCAACATACCCATGTTTTGACCCCTGAAGGATCTCATAGATTGGCATATCAAAGACAGCCTAATCTGACACCCAATGTAGTACCATAGTTGAGTCTAGGGGTTATGTGTAACATTCCAGTTTTGCCCACCAATTCCCAAGGTCCAGGGCATAACTAGAAAATGGTTCGGGTTCAAGAAAACACACACTACATGTGCTTTGGGTCTAACCATGGCAGCTGAGACAAGCTACCCCAACTAACTTGGCAACACATTAGTATTAGCCTTGGCAGGATAAACCTCCCTAGGTCTACCCAATGACTATGGACATTCTAAACTAACACAAGTCTCATAAGTGTCCAGTTTAAGGGTAATTGCACAGAAACATACCTAGTATAACATGAATCAATTATGTACTTTTATTCATTTACAATAAATGTCTAATGTACATCAATCTGATTGGAGCTAAGGGCATACGCTGTCTAACACTAAGGGCATACTCTGTTTAATAGTAAGGTTGTAAACAGATTATATTCATATTGGATTTGTTTGCATCTACATCCATATTGGATTATGGAATCTCTAGATTTGTGTTTGCATACGATTGTAATGTCAAATTTTGGATGGGATTTGGATTTAATTTGCAACCATCTTATTGTGTATAAAATAACCAAAACATTAAATGGTTTTAAAAAACTAATTACTTTTGAAAGTTATAATAAATCACTGTGAATATAAAATATTATGTTTATAAATTATAAACTTTATATAATTATACATGATACCTATTATTGAGGATAATTGCCACATCATCAGAAGATGACATGCCAAAAGATATGCGATGAACTTGTGATAAGTTCATCACATATCTCTATTTGTTTTCTGATAGATCTCCACTAACTTGATAAACTCTATCAGATAGAGTTCAATTTGGATAAACTCTATCTAATAGAGCTCAGTGTAATTTGATATCCTAATTGAGTATTGTACATAAAGTCTAACTCTTGTATCTATAAATATACATGGTTCAACTGGTTCCCCATCGAACCATTCTCATTCAATACAAGTCTCTACTTATTTCTTTAACTTGGTACTAGAGCCACATTACCATGGCTTCAATAAACAGTTCAACAGAAGGAGGGATCAACAACCTAGGGTTGTTGACTTTAGCAGCTACTCCGGGTATGGCAGGATCGATGCCCAACATCACTCATTATCTACCTATCAAGTTGAACAGCGACAACTATCTCCTATGGCATCCGCAACTTCTTCCCATTCTCAGAAATCGCAAACTTATGGGAATAGTGGAAGGTAAAACTCCTGGACATCCTAAAGAAATTGATGATCCAGAGGATTTGACAAAGAAAATTATCAATCCAGCGTTTGATCATTGGTACCAACTGGATCAGTTGGTACTTAACTAGATCGTTTCATCTCTCATTGAAGGTATACTCACTCAAGTTGTTTGTATGTCTTCGTCAGCTGAAGTGTGGGGTGCATTGGAAGAGTCATTTGCTTCACACTCCTGATCTAGAAATTTGCAGTTAAAGAGACAACTCCAAAGTCTCAAGAAAGGTACCCTTTCCATTTCCGAATATATACAGAAAGCCAAAGGTATTGCCGACAACCTTTTTGTTGTTTCTGAACTTGTCTCCAGACAAGATCTTGTTATGTGTATTTTGAGTGGACTCGGATCTGAATATGAATCCATTATTACTACTATTGCTAATCGAGTTGACTTTGATAAACTAAGAATTGCTAATCGATCTGAATATGAATCCATGATTAAGGTATTACTTAATCATGAGTCTTGGCTCCGAGAAATTCACTATCTTAACACAGATGATAGTGCTTTTGCCAATCTTGCTTCGACCAACAAAAATCATTCCCAGCAATCCCAGCAATCGCACAATAACTCACAGCACATAAGCGACAGAGGCGGACATGGCAATCACACTAATGGTTTAGGACATGGTAGAGGTTGAAGCAGCACCACTGTTTGCCAGCTGTGCAACATTCCTGGCCATGGTGTTTGGAAATGTTGGCATCATTTTGATATTTCCTATCTTGGTGGTGATCGATAGCCTACTCCAAATCCTACTCCTGATCTAGTTGCTTTTCACACTAGTACCTTGTCTCAATTTGACCTAGCTTGGTATCCAGATTACAGAGCAACACATCACATTACGTCCGATCTGCATAATCTTCAGATTCAATCAAACTATGGTGGGTCTAATCAGGTGAAAATCAGTAATGGCACAGGTTTGGAGATAAAAAATTATTCGTTCTTCTGTTATTTCTCATAATGACCATAAATTTTATCTTGAAGATATTTATCATGTTCCTTCCATTACAAAGAATTTGCTTTCTATTAGCAAATTTATCAAAGATAACAATGTTGTCTTTGAATTTCATCCTTCTCATTTTCTTTTGAAGGACCATATGGGGAGAGTTCTACTCCATGGACCCAATAAAGGTGGACTCTATCAATTTCCTGCTTGAGCTTCTATCACTTCTGCTCTGTCATCAGGTAGTACTTCATTTATTGGTGAGAAAGCATTAGTTCGAATCTGGCATCATCGTCTTGGACATGCTTCCATCAAAGTGGTTCGGTGTGTGCTATCTCAATTTGGTCTTCCCTATAGTGGTTCATTTAGTTTACCAGTTAGCCATGCATGTCAACTAGGAAAGAGTTATCGTCTTCCCCTCTCTGTTTCATCTACATCTTATAGTCGTCCATTTGAATTGCTGTATTCAGTTATATGGGGACTAGACCTAGTTGAGTCCAATAATGGGTTTAGATATTATGTGTTATTTGTGGATGCTTTCTCTAAATTTTCTTGGATTTTTCATATGCATCGAAAGTCTGATGTATTTGATATTTTAATAAGTTTAAAAGGCATGTTGAGAATTTATTTGATGTAAAAATTAAATTTGATCAATCTAAATGGGGAGGAGAATACTAGAGGCTCTCATAGTATCTTGACTCAAAAGGCATTGAACACCAGCTCGCTTGCCCTCACACTCATGAGCAGAATGGAACCATTGAACAGAAGCATCGCCATGCGATAGAGTCCAACCTTACCTTGCTGGTGTTTGCCTCTCTCCCCTAGAACTTTTGGTCTGATGTGGCTGAAATTATTGTTTTCATGATGGGTCTTACCCTGGTGGCCGAGACAGGCCATCCCAACACTTGGCGGCACACCAGTATCAGCCTTGGTAGGATAAATCTCCCCAGACTTATCCAATGGCTGTGAACATTTAAAACTAACACGTGTCTCAATAAGTGTCTAGTTTTAGGGTCTTACAAAGAACTATACCAAACAACATGAATCAAACTTGCACTTTATTTATTTACACTAAATATCAAAAGTACATCAAATCGGATTGAAGCTAAGGGCATACAAAACTGTCTAACAAGGACAGTTCCTCTTCCAGTGGTCGGCCTGTTTGCAGAGGTGACAGGCATCGGATGCCTTGTTTTTCTTCTACTTCTTAGATTTGCTAGCTTTCTTCTGGGGCTTCTTTGCCTTCCTCATTATCTTGCCCAATTTGCTAGCTTCAATAAGCATAGCCACAGGCTCATCCTTTTTGATCAAATCCTCAGCCCTCTGCAACATCTTGATGAGTTCCTGGATGCTGACATTCAGCTTGTTCATATTGTAGTTCATTATGAATGGATTAAAGGAAGGAGGCAGAGAATTAAGGATGGTATTCACTTGCATGGCAAGATCTAGCCCGGATCCAAGAGCTTCGAGTTCGTTGATGTAGCCCATCATCCGAAGACAATGGTCATGAACTTTCTGCCGCTTGGACATCTGCGCGGTCATGAACAACTTCAAGACCTTTTGCCAAGTAAAACGATTCTGCTCTTTGTACATCGTCTTTAAACTATCAAATATGTCCTTGGCTAGTTCGATCTGATCGAACTGCCTCTGTATTGGATTGTCTGGGGAGGCAATAACATAGCAGCGGGGTAGGGAGTTTTTATCCTCCCAATCTTGGAATTCCCTCCTTCGGGCCTCAGAAGCCCTGTCACTCGGATGCTCTGAAGCAGGATTTTTAACTACCTTATCCAACTTCTCGGAAGTTAAGACCAGCATAAGGTTTCTATACCAGTCGGCATAGTTTGGGCCCTTAAGCTTGTTATCGTCAAGCAGCTTAGCAAATTGTCTGTTTGCCATTTTCTGATAAAACAGCAAAACATTAGTCCACAACCTTAGTTTGATTCAAGTTACCTACATAGATATGGCTTTTATTCTATGTTCCATTTCCAATTGTTCATCTCTGAGATTTCCCTCCTATCTCGGTGACGGAGACGGCAAAGATGTCTCTAGAAATGTGGGAAATTACATAGGGTGCATGGAGCCAACTGTTTCAACTGTATAACCCCACCACCTTTCTTGACGGATCATATCCATTCATCATATGAGTTTCCCTTTGGCCTCTGTCATACAAGGTTCAGAGCCATTTTTCAGGTAAACTTTTCTGTCCAGTGAGTGCTAACCCATCATATTCAGGTTACGCCAAGGTACCGTGAGAGAGTTCCCATTTTCTCGTGAAGCCCCTCCCACATCGGTCTATGACACCCCTATCATCTTATGAAACACTCTGATAGACCCAACAGCAAATGGATAGCCCAATTTTATGGTGCATTTCCTCATTACTGAAGGACCCATTATCATGCTAATGATGGAAGGCCTTTAGAGAGTCCATCATATGGATCTCCCTATCACATGCACTCATATTTGCTGGAGGGAACAAAAAATTACGCCCTAGTTAATTTAGGTCAAACCAGAGTGGCTCCCACTGACTTTCATAAAGTCAGATTTATGGTGGCCCAATTCTGCTAGGGTTTCCGTACGCGTCCCTTTTTAGGGTTATGGGGCCCACCATGAAAGGAAGGAGTCATCCAATGACCGTATAGGACACCATGGCAATGATGTGCATTCAGCCATGGTGTGCGCAAGAGCCACTAACATCACGGGCCAAGTATTTATGGCTCATGGTCGCAGCACATCAAACATCCACACATCACATGGAATGGAAGAATTAATCCAATCAATTAACTACTGTAAAGCCCATTAATTAGCCCATTTAATGTCCATAATATTAACCATTAATATCAACTAGGTATATGGACTGAATCGCAGTTAGCAGTTCGGCCCATATAGCTTTTATGTAAAACTGGGCTTTTGCAGTTTTAACCCCTTAAAACTGGGCTTTATAGGTTGGGCCAAATTGGTTCTTCCAATTATTAATTGATTTTAGACTAGGAAGTAGGAAATAACAGGACTGAATACAGCCCCTTTCGAACTCTAGATTTTGTCCAAACAGTTTCGGTCCAATCTGGTCGTCCTAAAACAATTTTTAATTCAAGAAACAATTCAATGAAAGATCTGAAATTAAAATTCCAAATTTTTGACAATCAAAAACAGATCTGGATTGTTCATACAACCTGCAAAACAGAGGTCAGTAATTAGGGTTATAGTTTCCCAAACTGCAAAAACACAGATAGCGAACTCTTCATCTGCAAATCTCCAGCGCCGTCGTCTTCTCAATCAAGAAAATAAAAAAAAAAAAACAGAAATCCTATTTCTATTAAATAATTACATTCTTGATTGAATCCTATACATTCAGTCTAGAAAAAAAAAATTATTTTACAGACCATAATGAATAGAAACTACAAATAACAGGTGCGTAGACATTCTACGCCAAATCTGATCTTCGAACTCCATGTACGAACAGTCCATTAAATCATAAATAAAATAAGAACAGTTCTAAATTAAATTTTAGATTTAACAAAAATTAATTTCAGTTCAATCGCCCATACAAGAAACAATTTCTTGAAATAAAACTACAATCTGCGCAATACCCGAATAGAACAGCTGCTACCGAATTGCACAGGTTCAGATCTGATTTCTTGGTTCAACATTCGAACGTATGGCTCTGATACCACTGAAGTTCAACCGCCCAAACAAGAAACAATTTCTTGAAATAAAACTACAATCTGCGCAATACCCAGATAGAACAGCTGCTACCGAATTGCGCAGGTTCAGATCTGATTTCTTGGTTCAACATTCGAACCTATGGCTCTGATACCACTGAAAGGAGGGAGAAATCCATCGTATGGATGCCAAGAAAGCAGTGGAATAGGTGGGTGAATTTTAAAATTTTTTCTCCCTTCTATCAACTGGGAATCGCATTCCCTTATTTTAGAATCAAATATTCAAGGATCTACTCGAACCAAACCAGACCAGATCTGAACCAAAGATCAGGGGAAAGGTTATACCTGATACGGAGAATCAAAATCTCCCAACATCGGTGTTCATGCCCAAAGAAAGATCCAAGATCTACTCCCGCTGAAGATGACACAGCGATGGTGGGGCAGAACCAACAGTGTACGTCCTACGTACCGAACCAAATCAGTCTTTCAGCAAAGACTGATCTCAAGAACCAGTTTCTTGATCTTCCCTTCAGAGGAGTTTGAACCAAGCAGTAAGGTAGCGGTGGTTGGAGGAGTTCCTAAGGCTGAAAGTGGCGTGAATGCAGATTTCAGCTTAGAGAAGCAGAGATCCTATCTCAGATTGCAGAAGATGTTACTGCAAAAACCCTAGGTCGAATTCTTGTAATTCTAGATTAGGGTTTCCTCCTTTCTTAGTAATTAAGAAAACTCCTAATCCTATTAGGAGTTATCCCAATCCAAATCTGTATTTGGATAAGGGATAATCTTAATCCTATATACAGATTAGGTAGCCCACTCCTGATCTTATCAGGAGGTTACCAGATTCAAATCACATTTGAATTTGTTCTCCAAGATTGAATAGGGTTAGAACCCTAATCCTTTAGCTAACCCTAATCCCAGATACGACCCCTTAAGTGGGTGATCATATCAGCCCAGGCCGAAATGGGCTTTAGAACCAATAAGTAATCAGTGCTCAATAAGATTCCAAATTGCTGCCCAGTTGGGCTTCTTTGTATGGCG